CAAATAACACAATCAAAGAAAAATCTAAACACATGACTATCACGAAGAATGAATTAACACAGATTTTCTAAGTGACATGAGAAAAAGTAAACTTTTGGGCTTATGCCTTTAACCTTGGCCCAACCAGTGAATCAAACAAGTACATAATGAAAGTGAAGTAGGCTTCTGTGCCCAGCACACACTGATTAATGAGCATAATTTTATACAAGAAGTACAGTCTCTCATGGAGGGGGCCACGAAACTGAACAACTACCTGGAGAAGCTGTGACTGTCACAAAGGGAAATCCTTTTACCACTAGAGAATACAGCAGCCACAAGACCCACGGTACTACTGGACTTCCCTCTAAAGTGTTCAGAACCAAGGATGGCACAGGAAAGGCGTTACAACACCCTCAATACCAGTCTGTTCCACTGTGTGTGTTACTCATGAAGGCAATAAAAGGCACTAACGTGCTGCAAACTTTCCCTGAAGCATCTGAAGATTCTTTATGTTAAAAAGCAGACCAAAAATTTCAGCAAATTGTATTGCCCCACAGTTACAGTGTGTGTACTTATGATCAAAGTTCCTGAAATACACAAGAATCAAAGAGATGAAGACTGACCCTGTCTGTGCTCCACCAGGACACAGTCCATCCACGGCACAGACTTTACGAGGACTTCATTCCTTCCAATGCGTGAACAGCATTCCATCTTACGCATATCCTAATCCTGTCTACCCATTCAACAGCTGATGGGATACTCTGTTTGTTTCCACCTTCTGGCCGTTGGGAACAGTGTTGCAATGAACAGAGGTATGCACGGGGCTGCTGGAGTCCCTGCTTTCAAGTCCTGTGGTGCTGAACAGACCCCAGAGTAGAACCTGGGGTGATACAGCAGCTCTATGATTAGATCCCCGAAGGGCCACATGCTTTCTACAGCAGCTGGATCATTTGTTCCCACCAGTAATGCAAAGGTTTCTGATTTCTCCACATGCCCACCATGTTGTTGTTGTTGTTATGTGTCGTTGAGTCGGCCTCAACTCATAGCGACCTGGGTTTCCAAGGCAGTATCACAACAGAAGTAGGATTGGTTTGACCTGGTATCAATTCTCCAAACCAAAACCAAACTCACTCCCATCAAGTCAGATTCAACTCACAGCGACCCCTCCTTGGGTTTCTAAGGCAGTATCACTACAGAAGTGGATTGCCCAACCTTCCTTCTGAAGAGTGGATGGTGGGTTTGAACCACCAGCCTCCAGGTTAGCAGTCAAATTCCTAAGGCTATACTAATGGGTGTCAAGTGGTACCTTACTGTGGTTTGGACTGGCATTTCTCTAATGACTAACAATGCTGGCATTTGCTCATGCTTGTTGGCCACCTATCTTCTTTGGAAAAATAACTATTACAGTACCTTGCATTTTTTAATTTGGTTGTCTCATTGCTGAGTTGTAAGAGTTCTGGATACTAGGCCTCCATCAGATAAATGATTTGCAAATATTTTCTCCCATTCCATAGACTGTCTTTTCAGTTTCTAGATAATGGCCTTTAACATGGAAAGGTTTCTAATTACGATGAAGTCCAAATTTTCTTCTTCTTCTTTTTGTCGACAGTTTTGGTGTATTATGTAAGAAACCACTGTCTACCCATGGTAATGAAGGTTTGCCTCTACGTTTTCTCGGAAGCGTTTGAGTCTTTCAGCACTTACAGTTAGGTCTCTGACACATTTTCACTTCCTTTTTAAATATGATGTGAAACACAAGTTCCAAACGTATTGTTTTGCATCTCGCTATCCAGATCCTCTTGGTCTGTATGTCTGCCTTCACACCAACATCACACTGTTCTGAATACTGAAGCTTTACAGGTAAGCTCTGAGATCAGGATGTGTGACTCACCTACTTTATTCCTTTTTTCAAGAACTTTTGGGCTACTCAGAGCCCCCTGCCATTCTATGAATTCAAATGGGCTTTATCATCTTACACAAGTGGCCGCTGGGATTTTTAAAAGGACTGCATGGACAGCAGCCACCACTCTGGGTGTCCTGACGTTCTATAGTAACTCAGTCTCCCAGCCCATGGACACAGGAGCCTTCACTCTACTAAGCTGTCTTTGATCTCTTTCAGCAACGCTTTGCAGTTTTCAAAGCCCAAGTCCTACACCTCCACAGCTACAGCTACTCCTAAATACCTCCTCCTTTTAGGTGTGACTCTAAGTGGAACTGCTTCTTCATTTATTTTCAGATTGTCCAGTGCTGGTCTACAGAACCAACACTCTCACGTGTGCATGCTGCTCTGTGCCCTGTAGCTTCAATTTGGCTCTAGTTCTGAGCTTGAGTGTGGACTCTTTGGGATTTCCTACACACAGGATCATGTCATCAGCAAGTAGACACACTTTTACTTCTTGCTTTCCAAACTGGATGCTGTTTAGCTATTTTTCCTGCCTAAATACTGTGCCCACAGCTTCCAGTATGACTGTGAAGAGCAGTGGTGAAAGAACACATCCTTGTTTTCCATCTTCCCCCACTGCACGTGATGTTGTTGCTGTTATTAGTTCCCACAGACTCAGCTCCAACTCCTGGCGACCCCATATGTAGTGGAACGAAATGTTGCCCAGCCCTGCACCGCCTTCCTGATACCTGGTATCTGTCAGTCTGTTATGATGGCTGTGGTGTCGGTCTGTCTCACTGAGTCCGTTGTGGCTGTGGTGTCAACCTGTCTCACTGAGGGCTCCCATCACCTTCACTGACCTTCTACTTTAGCAATCATGACACCATTTTCTAGTGACTGGCTTTCTCGATGACACATCCAAAGTAATCAAGCCAGTCACACCATCCTCGCCTCTAAGGAGCCCTCAGGTTGCATTTCTTCTAAGACTAATGTGTTTGTCCTTCTGGCAGTCTAGGGTACAGCCAACATCCTTCACCATCACCACAGTTTGAATGCATCAAGTCTTCTTCCTGTTTCATTGTCCAGCTTTTGCATGCATGTGAGACAAATGAAAAGATCATGGCCTGGGTCAGGTGCACCTTCTCATTAAGCTTTTCAACACTTTACAGAGGTCTTTTGCAGTTGATCTGCCCAATGCAAAGTGTCAGTTGATTTCTGGACTGCCGTTCTCATGGATCTTGACTGTTGCTCCAAGTAGAATAAAATCACTGCCTTCAATGTTTTCTCCATTTATCATGATACTGTCTATTGATCCAGTTGTAAGCATTTTCATTTTCTTCACATTCAGGCATGTTTCATACTGAAGAATGTAGTCTGTGACCTTTAACGGTAAGTACTTCAAGTCATCTTCATTTTCAGCAAGCAAAGTTATGGGGATTTTTTATCAATGTCCTTCATCATTGAGGAAATTCTCTTCTACTCCTAGTTCCTGAGTGCTTCATCTCCAAAGTATGTTGGATTTTGTCAAGTACCTGCTCTGCACTAACCCAGATGATCATGTGGTTTTAACCCTTCACTGTACTCACTGGCGTATTACACAATTTTGGCTCTTAGGCTGAACCACCCTTGCATTCCTGAAATAAATCCCACTTGTTTATCAGGTATCCAAAAATGAAACCAAACTCCCTGCCATCGAGTTGGTCCTGACTCACAGTGACTCCCGCTGGATTTCCAAGGATGTAAATCTTTACAGAAGTAGACAGCCCCATTGTCCTTCCATGGAGCACCTGGTGGGTTGTAACCGCTGACCTTCCAGTTAGCAGCCAAATGACCTATCCAGTATGCCACCAGAGCTCCTGGATCACATATAATCTTCCCAAAATACTGTTGGATTAAGTTTGATAGTATTGTTGAGGACTTCTGCATCTGTATCCATCAGGGATTTTAGCCTGCTGTGTTTTGGTAGTCTTTTATTGACGCTGGTATCAGGGTAACACAATTCTTATACAATAAGTTACAAAGTGTTTCCTCCTCTTTTATTTTTTGGAAGAGTTTGAGAAGGTTAGTGATCATTCTGCTTTAAACGTTTGGTAGAGTTAGCCATTGAAGACAGCTGGTCTGGCATCTTTCCTTCTTGGTGTTCACCGGGCATCCCCAAAATGCATATCTCTGTCTCTTATCAAATTTAAACAGTTTTTGGGCATTACTACTTCAAATGCTCTATCATTTCCCTCCTCTCCTCTTGGGGTTCCTGTTATCCAGGTGTTGGTATGCTGATGGTGTCCCACAGGTCTTTTGGGCTGTTCACTATTCTTCATTCTTTTTTATCTTGTTCCTCAGATTACATAGTATCAACTCATCTGCCTTTACCTTCACTGTTTCTTTGTCTGCTTGGGTATACTGTGAAAATCCTCTGGTGAGTCTTCCATTTCAGTTACTTTCTGCCTCCAGAATTTCTGTTTATTTCCTTTGAATAACTGCTATATCTGCACTGGTACTCTCTGTCTATCTACAGTGGCTTCTGGTATCCCTTAGCTACTTTAAAACCTGATGTAAAAAGCCTTGGTCTAGCAAGTGCAGTCTGTATTTCTAATTTCAAAACTAGTATCTCTTAGTCTCTTTTATACATGGGCCATGTTTTGTTTATTTACATGCTTCAAACATTTTTGCTGAAACCTGGACACTGTGACAATAATAATGTGGTAACTATGCAAATCAGATTCTTCCCACTCCTCAAGTGTATTTTGGCTCCCTGCTGTAGGCTGTAGCTATCTGCTGAACGATTCTTCTTCTAAACAACTCTCATAAATTCTGTAATCTTTGTCATACATGGTCTCATAAATCTGTTTTTCTACCTTGTGTTCACCTAGTGTTTTGACAAAGATTTGTTTGAAAATAAGGAATCAAAAAAGGAAAAGGAAAAAAGAAATAAAAAGAGAAAGAAACATCAACAAAAGCATTCTCAGAGTATCCCGAGAAACTCCTCTCAGGAGGAGTTCCAACAAGATGGCAGGATAGGCAGAGAAGCTACACAGAACCCTCTCCAACAAAGCAATGAGAAACCAACTGAAACTGATACATAAGATGATCCTGGAACCCTCAACTTTGAAGGCAAGGATAAAGAAGTGAATTAAATACCAACTAGTAGAAGAACCTAAATGAAAACAAGAGTAAGGAGACAAACAGAGCTGCGGACTACTGGCAGTCCTGAGGGCACAGTCATTTTTTAATATTTTGTAACAGCAACCTAAGAAGAGGCTCTACTCAGTATAGACTGCATGGGCAAGGACCACGTTGGTACCTGACAACCACAAAGGAAAACAGCAAAGGAGGAGACCTCAGACAGACCTGTGGACTGCCAGAGGCTGTCCTAAGAGCACAGGCATTTTGAATATTTGCAATCAGTGGGCATGATCATTTCGAATCTATGCAGCAAGTGGCATTCTTACATGGACGGGCGACCAGGAGTGGGCTCCGCTTGCTGAGGACAGCATGGGCAGCAGCGCTGGAGGCTGACGACTGGAAAGGTGTGATGTTCCCCTTCCTACTCTTATACACCGCACACTCTTGGTGGCTATCCCCTGCCTTTATCCACCTTCTTGACCAGCAGGAATGCCCCATCTCTCAAAATTTTGTCTTTTGATTGTTTATTTCTAAATTATTCTTTTCATCTTCCTCCTTTCCTGTCCCTGGTTTCTTTGTTTGTTTGCTCCTTTTTTATTTTCTCTTCCCATTCACTGGTTCCCTTTCTTTAAAATTCCTTTCTTTTGATTCTTCCCATCCCTTGTTTTTTCTTTTGCAGTTTTGCATTTTTTACTTTTCTTTTACCCTTGCCCTTGTCTCTCATTTCTCTTTCCAAAGACACTGTCGCTTCTTTTATCTATTTTTCTCATTATCTTTTATCCTTTTATTATATAAAAAATTTTCTTCTCATTTATTGTATTTCTTTTTTTTTTTGTCTGTGACTGTTACTGTTTGTCATTATAGTTTTTCGTTCTCTTTTTTGATATTTGTGGGGTTTTTTTTTCTAATTTTTGGTCTAAATGAGTGGAAGACAGTAACTGTTCCAACCCAAACACACCTGTACTGCCTGCAATCCACCCACTGAGTGAGAGCCACCACTTCCTTTCCACCAACTGACAAAAGATAGACAGCAGTCAGTACCAGCTCAGCTCATCCTTACCTGCTCCTTATGAACAGCTAATAGATATCTGTGCACACCCTCTCATTCTCTATCACACATTAAACATAAATACAACAATACCCCAATGTCTCAGAGAAAACAGACTATCACAGTGCACACAAAGAAGCAAGACAAAGTAGTAGAAAAAAGGAACTAGGATAAAAACTCAAAAAACATCCCTGAGGAAGAAGCAGCATTGGAACTCCCTAATAAGGAATTCAAAAGAATTATATTTTGGGTACCTTCAATGGACTGAGAGACAGATCAAGGAAAAAACGGACAAGATCAGGGAAATCACTGACAAAATTCAGGAAAACACACACAAACTTCTAGAAAAATTTATGAAAACAATACAAGAACAAATTGACTAAATAAACGAAAAACTAGAAATGTAACAAAAACAACAAATAGATATCCAGAAGAATAATACTAAGATTTCCAAAACAGATAACACATTGAATGGACAAAGGAGTAAAATCAAATCAGTGGAAGACAGAATTTATGAGATTAAAGACAAATACCTCAATATTACTTTTATGAGGGATCAATCAGACAAAAGTTCAAAACAAAATACAGAAAGCCTGAGATTCTTATCTTGGAATTGGGCAATCTACTTCCGTAGTGATACTGTCTCAGAAACCCAAGGAGGGGTCGCTATGAGTTGGGTCCGACTTGACGGCACATAACAACAAGATTCATATGGGATACCATCAAGAATAATAACCTATGTGTAATCAGAATTCCAGAACAGGAAGAGACAAATAAAACCACAGAGAAAATTGTTGAAGGTTTGATGGAAGAAAATTTTCCTTATATAATAAAAGACAAGACTATATCCATTCAAGAAGTCCAACAAACCTCAAAAAGAAAATCACTAAGACCTATCATAATCAAGCTCACCAAAAGCAAAGATAAAGAAAGAATCTTGAAAGCAGCAAGGGAAAAACAAAAAGCTACCTAAAAGAGCAACCAATAAGACTAAGGTCTGATTTCTCAGCAGAAACCATGTAGGCAAGAAGGCAATGGGATGGTATATATAATACTCTGAAAGAAAAAAAATCTCCAACCAAGAATTATATACCCAGCAAAACTGCCCCTAAAATATGAAGGTGAAATTAGGAGATTTTCAGATAAGCAGAAATTAAGGGAATTTGTTAAAACCAGACCAATCTTATAAGAGATGCTAAAAGGAGTCCTTCGGACAGAGAATCAACAACAGTAAACAATCAATGATTAATATACATAATGATACAACCAAAAACCAATCTGTTTGAAGAAGTATCCGAAGTAAAATAAGCTTAGAAGACTGTAAACAAGGAACCAGAGACATCAATTGGTGAATAAGGACAACTACAAACAAAACAGAGGGGATGAATAGTGTAGTTACATAACTTCTTAAATAGTGAGGAAGTCAAGGCAACTGTGAGACAGAACAGATTGTTTTAAACTTGGGAAGAAAATAAACCATAGGGTAACCTCAAAGAAAAAGAACAAACCTCTGAATCAAAATAGAAAAGAGGACAAGCACAAATATCTAGCAAATACTAAAACAACAGCAATGAAAGAGATAACACGATTCACAAATAAAATGAGCTGAGCACAGAAAATTATATGAAAGAAAGAAATCAGCAACACCATGAAAAAACACGTAAGAAAATGACATCAATAAATTCATACTTGTCAATAATTACACTAAATATCAACGGATTAAATGCACCACTCAAGAGGCAGAGAGTTCCAGACTGGATTAAAACACATGGCCCATCAATATGCTATCTACAAGAGACTTCCATTAGAAACAAAGAAAAAAACAGACTAAAAGTCAAAGATTGCAAAAAGAGATACCAAGAAAATGGCAACCAAAAAAGGGCAGGAGTGGCAATATTAATTTCTGATGAAACACATTTTAAGATAAAAATGCCCATAAGAGACAGAGAAGGCCATTATATCATGATTAAGGGGTCACTTGAACAAGAGGGCATAACAATAATAAATAGCTATGCATCCAATGAAAGAGCTCAAAAATACATAAATCAGACTTTAAAAGAGTTGAAAAGACAAATAAAAGACTCCACAGTAATAGTTGTTGTTGTTGTTGTTATTTGCCATCGAGTCGGACCCAACTCATAGCGACCCCTCCTTGAGTTTCCGAGGAAGTATCACTACAGAAGGAGATTGTCCCATCTTCCTTCCAAGGAGTGGCTGGTGGGTTTGAACCTCCAGCCTTCTGGTTAGCAGTCAAGTGCCTTAGGCATTATGCTACCAGAGGAGACATTAATGCACTATATTCAATAACAGAACTGGAAAGAAATTCAATAAAGATGCAAAAGAGCTAAAAAATACAATCAACCAGCTTGATCTCATAGGCATCAACAAAGCAACAGCACAATATACATTCTTTTCCAGGCCACAAAGAACATTCTCCAGGGTGGACCATATGTCAGGCCACAGAGCAAGCCTCAATAAATTTAGAAACACTGAAGTACTATAAATTATCTTCTCAGAACACAGTGCTATACAATCAGAAATCAGTATTAGGAAGACCAATGGAAAAAGAGCAAATTCATGGAAACTCAATAATACTCGCCTCTAAAATGACTGGGTAACAGAAAATACAAAAAACAAAATTTAAAAATTCCTTGAATCAAATGAGAATGAAAACACAACATACCAAAATCTTTGGGACACAGCAAAAGCAATGATCAGAGGCTAATTTATAGCAACAAATGCACATATCAAAAAAGAATAAAGAGCCAAAATCAACACCTCAAACCAACATCTCCAACAATTAGAAAAAGAGCAGCAAAAAAAGCCTAGTCACCAGAAGAAAAGAAATAATAAAAATTGAAGCCAAAATAAATCAAACAAAATAGAAAGACCATAGGAAAAAAGTCAACAAGACCAGAAGCTGGTTCTTTGAAAAGATTAATAAAATCAATAAACCACTGGAAACTTAACAAAGGAAAAGTAGGAGAGGATGCAAACAACATGGGTAAGAAACAAAAGGGGTGACATCACAACAGAACCAACAGAAATCAAAAGAATAATATCAGGATACTAAGAACTGTACTCCAACACATTTGAAAACCTAGAAGAAACAGATTTCTAGAAACACACCACTGACCTAAATTAACATAGACTAAGGTAGAAAATTTGAAAAGACCCACAACAAAAAAAGAAATTGAACAAGTCATAAAA